GAATTCTTCTCAAGCAGTAAATTACGATGACAGTGAATAAAAAAACTTTTCCTTTTTTCTAAATTGACTATTTGATATATGTTTGTGCTAGCTCTTACTGTTTGTCCTTAACTTTTTCTTATTGCGAACAAAATTTTCGAAAACTGTAAGCAACGGAAATTTATGATGTTTCCAGTAAAAAAATCATTAGAAGCTGGAAAACATTTAACATATAAATTTATTTATTATTTACATATTTACATATTTTATATACATATACATGTAACATTGTGTTTGCTGGGATTACTATAAATATCAAATCATATGGCGCGAGCAACACGACCTGATCTGTCACCGCGGCTGACAGCTGCAAGCGAGGGTGTATATCAGTTGGACACGGGGCAATTGGACACAATCCAATCACAAGTCGCTGTTCCAAGGGACCCTACAAATGTCTCTAATCACACGGTGCTGTGATTGGCTGTGTCCAAATGCACCGTGTCCAAGTGCACCGCTCCCGCAAGTGACACGGGGTGTTTACGACAACTAATCGGATCTCTGATCGGACTGAGCAGTGGCACTCAATGGAAACTTTCAAAAAATTTCCCTAGACTGATCCGAAATCCGTATTGTCTCAGGATTGATCGGATTAGATCAGGCAGATCGATAGATATAGAATCGTGCGAGTATAATAGAATTGAAAAAAGTTGTAAAAATCATTACACAACAAGGCAGGTACGTTTTTATTGTTGTAATAATTAATGTTGCTCTATGTAATAAATATATATTAATGCTGAATATAGTTTTATTGATATAAAAGTGTAGAAGAAAAAGCAAATAAGGCATAACCTATTTTTTTAATCATTTATTTAAATTAATTGAAACGATATTTTTAATAAATTTATTTATTCTAGGATAAAAAGATAATTACGATGAATGAAGATAATAATATTGAGCAAAATCAATTTGGTATATATATTTTAAAATTACATATTATTTTATTGTTTTATTATTGTTTATTTTATTATTAGTATTATTTATAGTATTAATTATTATTTACTTTGACATAAGCATCTTAAATTCTGTTAATTTTAATATATAAAAATATTTCTAAATTGTTATATTCAATGTAAATATCAAACTTAAAATTATCCTTCAATGCTTATGTAAAAATAAATAATCTTAAAAATACTTGTCAATTTCCTAAATAGCAGTAATCAAAATAAGATTATACAAAGTATTCTGTGTGTAATCCAGCTAATGAAGTCTGCGCAAAT